TCAAACTTACACCAGGATATCGGCTCCCGAATGAACATCTTGAAAATCCGACTCACAAGCGAAAAATCTCTTATCTACGGTATCAGTGCCTTGATGCATCCAAAAATATCATATGGAAATCCATAATACCGTTTTTTAAATATATAACGCAAGCATAAAACTTGTTCATTCGAACAAACAGTATCTATTTTTTAAAAGTTTGTAATTAGAAGATGTTAAAGGCCTTAGAACATTTGTTAAAATAGCGCCCTATCTACCCGTTTATTATTGCCCTTATGGTGGATACAACCTGTTTCATACCTACTAAAAAGTTTATGAGCTATGTTTCACGCCCTCTTAGTTACAGAGTAGCATCTATAATTGTTCTCTATTGTAAATTCTACAGCTGGTAGTAAGGAAACCCCAGGCGCAAACTAAATGGTGGGTGAGGTTCGAAGTTGTTCTTGAATTGAAAACGTTTCAAGATAGGAAGATACCTTCAGTTGAGTAACAAATTTAAGGACGTCGTAATTCCCCACAAAATGAAATGAGGTGTTTTTGTGCATGCATTATATAAAATTATTTGAATCGCAAAAGCATGGAAAATCACCTTTACTGTCGAAATGAAATATAACGTGGTCGGTACAATGTCATGCCGTGGAAAATGGGAGGTACCAGTAGTAGTATGTATTTTGTACAAGGTTCTGAAACGCATGGATGAAAAACAGTGCTTTCGGCTAGTTCAGTAACGTCACGCTCCAGCAAGTCAGAGCTAGGCGCGAGAGAAGAGATCGTGAGAGAGTGGAAAATCGAAAGAGTAATCGATTGACGGCCATGATTCACGGTCTTGTGAACGGTGCATTCGCCCGAAATGTGATTGGTCAAGTCCCACTGACATGACAGCCAGCTGGAAGCAGGGAGTTGGGGGTACGTCTGCGTCTGCAGTACTGTTGTTTACCGAACAATATTTTTTTTATGGATATGCGGTTCGCTAAAATTGAAAGCTACATCACAACCATTAATAGGTTAAATTTTTGCTGCTGATGTCCCCGCTCCGAGTCACTGCTGTTTTGTTTTATTTAATTAAATGTCTCTGTTCTAAAGGAACAAAGGCCGAAACAGACCCACATACTGGAGGCAGGACATAAATTTCGCCTTCATGCTTGCGTGATTCCTCCAATTGAGGCACCTATTTTCAGTTAGCCACTTTTGGGAATCTTGCAGTAACCATCAAGCCTCTAGTCCGGCTAGGAAGTTTGATCACCCGTAGTTAATAAAAACGGTGCAAATTTAGTTACCGATGCACCGGCGCCGAAAACATTACCCTAATTTTTAAAGACAATCTGCAGGAGAAAATTTTATTCAGTGAGTTTTAACAAAAAAAAACAGTACGGGACGCGACCTCTGGCTTTCTCATGCACGGCTAAATAGCAGCGCTTAATTAGACACGAATACGAACGCCTAAAAGCATGCAAAGAGCGCTTTTATTGTAATCATTCTATAAAAAGTTAGATTTTTTCAAATTTAGTACTCAGAGTAAGGTTTTACTTTAACTTAAAACAGGTTTTTCAAGTCCCACGTAGTTTGATAAGCAACTTGTGTCTTCCTTTACTCGTATCCTTTTTTAATGCTATGCAATTTTCAAAAAAAGAAATTCTACCAACCCTTGTGCCATCGTTAAGAAATTTTCTTGTTCTCCTACAGAGTTGATATGGAGACAGTATTCTTGTACTGACAAATATATGGTTACGGAAAGGACTATGACTGCGCATAAAAAAACCTCCGGACCTAGTTAATCCTCCCTTCAATAGAAAATTTGGTGACATCGCGATTACCACTAAATGGGCCTATCAGTTGCATGCTTTCTGCGTCCTGTGAACGCTACTTAGGTTGTATTGCTCGCCGAAAAGTGAAATTTCCACATTTTTTAACTAAAATATACCCAAAGAGGGTCAGTGCGTGCTCACACAGAAACCGATTTAGGCTACCAGCAGTTCATGACCTATCTCATGAAAGGTCTCGAACTGCGAACTAAAATCGCTGTAGTTCACGTCACACCCGCCTTGCTTCCACAACAACTATACCGCGTTAAAGGAGCGACTGAGTTTCCAAAATAGGCACAGTGTGTACTATACGGTCTTATTTGTTGGCTAAGAAATAATTTATTTTACGAAAAACCACCAAATCAAAAAAGTTCCTCTACGACAGGCCATTTATTCAAGGCCTAATATCGATGTGGGCTGCAGAGGACAATGTCATACCACGGCCAGTGATAAAAAGCAGTAAAAAAATACAACGTATTAGAACATTGAAGATTGTCCTTTGGCTTTTAAAGTTGCTGTAGCTCGGGTGGGCATAGCGACTACTAAGTAGACTGTGGTGGTTTGGTCTTTGTAATTATTAAGCATAAAATCTAACTTTTTCTGCACTGAAAGATGATTTTGTTGTCTTGTACAAATTTCCTTTGGTAAGTAAAAAGATTTTCTATAGGATTCAGATCCAAACTGTTGGCGGGACTAAAACTGTTGCTAAGACCGCGGGCGATGAGGCTGGCTATGGTCTGAAATATCAGATTATAAACGTAAGTTGAATTGGAATCGTGCCTCCTCTGAATGATGAACAGGGGCATTATCCTGTAATTTTGACGTTGATTAATGTAGCTGTAACTGAAGGCATTCTTTGCAATGTTAATGTACACCTTGGACTTTATCACTTCCGCCCATGAACGCCAAAATGGTCGCTCTCCGAATCTGATAGTCATCCAAACCATCAGGCGTCGACAGTTCTTGAAATTTGGTGTCGATATAATGTGCTTCCGTGGAAAGTCCGTCCCACATATGACCACCAGGCCTATTTCGGAGGCTTGTGCGGAAATAAGGCTAGTAAATACTTCTGCCAAATGAAAGTCAATGTATCTTTGAGAGAATAAAGGTCTTTATCAAGTTCCCTACTTAAAAATGGTTTTTTAATGCTGTATTGCTGATGGAAGTCGAATCCTTTCATCTTTGCTCTAATTATGCGCAACAAACATTGACAAGTGGTACCTGCGTGTAGCCTTAAGAGGCATATAACCATACTTTTAGTGTTTTAGAAACAAAATAATCGTCTTGCTTACTTGGGGATCTACCTTGTTTAGCGCAAGGTGCTGTTTTATCATTAATAATCCTCTTCATAGTGATCTAGCTAATATTGGAAATATTAGCCAGCGACTCATGCGGCAGCTCTTTAGCTTCCAATTTTCGTTTGCGCTCAAGGTTAATTTCCGATAAGAATTACTTTGACTTCCTTGTTGCTCTTTGTGACAGTGAAAATTGGCAGCGTGTAACGCGTAGTCGATATATGTATAAGTGTTTGTGTCCACTAATTCCCGGTGAAACGAAGAATTACTGCGCTTAACGACATAAAACGTCGCAATTTTGCTATATAGGACATGTAAAGAGCAAATTGCTTCTTTTTTATGAAAACAAATACGTTTATACAATCTGACTTGATCTGATTTTCATGAAATCAAAGGCGAATTTTTAATTTTCACGTTTCGGCAGCTCACGCAATTGCGTTAACGAACATCTCGTTTATTAAGGTGGTTACTCTCATCAGAGAATGCAAAGTAAACACTTTTCTGGGTGAAATATTCGGACAAACTTGGGACGACCCAAAATACGCACTTGAGCCACACTCAGCTTAGGCGAGGTTATTTTTAAACTAATTCGCCATGCCTTTGACGTGCAAGTGAACTGAAGCCTCTTGTAGATGTTAAAAGGCACAGTACGGCTGTGGATATTTTAAATCAAATGCTCTTCACAAAGACAGTTGGGCTGTCACACGCGTGACGACTCCCAACGTGGGAGCGGGAGCACAGCGTCGGCGACTTGCGCGTCAATTAGTTTCCAGGCGGGGTTTGCCTTGACAGCATCTACTGCACTCCGGCAAGGTTGGACGCGGTCGAAGTGCCTGACAAGGCCTAACTTCCTATGGCTACTGCAGAAGGGCAGCTGGATTCACACACGAGTAATGATGTCGTTAAGAAGACACTAGGAAGAAGCCGTTGTGGCTTGTTTGCTCTTGGAGCGCCCTGTCCTCGGGTCAGTCAATTAATTTGGGTACTGTAGACCACGTGAATCACTGCCTCTAAAAAGTTTCGGGTTACTTAACGCTACTTTTTGAGTCCTTCTCTCCATCTCCTAAACACTATCCGAGTAGCTTTTAGGCATTAGACTAAGCCCTTAGTTGTTATTATCCTCCAAGCTTTGGCGTCCCCTCTGGCATAGTTGGCCGTGCGGAAATATTTGGACGGTTTTTAGCAAACTAATCTGAGAGACGGCAGCGAGGCCGTGGGTCAATGGTAAACTTCAATTATCAAAATATTCGGGTTCTACTCACAGATCACCCGGACATGAGATTGGACATGGCTGGCTGATGACAGCTGATGGGCCAGAAACGGCCATCCCCGTCTTCCCTGCTCTCTTACTGGTATTTCTGCATTTTCTGGGGAATCAAATCCGCCAACTGGGTTACGGGAACCGCTCACACCGTTGTTCTTTGGGGTTCGATATAGAGTCCTGGACGCATGAAGGAGGAGGCACGATCGCTGGAACGAGAGCTTTATTAGCCTGACGTTTAGAATTCCTGATAGAATCCATCATCAAAGACAACAGTAGATACAGAAGATTCACGCACAAGGGGTTGTATTATTTATGGGATGCAGTCTCCATGCTACCGCATGCCTCTGAACATTCGCGGCTCCCCCCTTCATCCGAAATCGTTGCACTTGATGTGCTAATTGTTTGATGGCTGACATTCGCGTCGTTAATTGCTGCAATTTCATCACGTGCGTTGGATGTTGGCGTGATGATTGCTCGACCATTTGACGCACCGACCCTGGCGTTGGGAGGAGTGTTCACCTGTGAGCTCCCCGCGTGACTAATTACTCCGTCTAGGCGAAGTCTCAGCACCCAATGTGGAAGGGGGAGTTCGTTGTACTGGCCAATGGACTTGGGGCCAGTAAACCATGACTGAAGCATCTACCGGCCGACATAGTTGTCACCTCTTGCGAGAATCTCGGCATCGTCGAATTTAAATGTGTGGCCGGATCTTGTCGAATAATCCGCAACTCGAGAGCTGGCGTCATTTCTCCGCACCGCTGCCGCGTATTCAGCCATTCTCGTTCGGAGCTGTCTTCCGGTTTCTCCGACGTATTTGCGTTGTCCGCAACTGCACCAGATCCGATAAACGAATCCAGACGTTTTTCGCCGTGGCAGTGGGTCTTTCGGTTTCATTAACTGACGCCTGATGGTTGCATCCGGTGTGTGTGCCACTCCAACCCCAAGTGGTGCGAGAGGGCGGCCAACATCTTCCGGAACATTCTTGACATATGGAAGCACTCGCCAAAATTTGGTGTCCGTACGGTTAAGCCTTTTGTTCATTTTGCGTATGCACTTGTTGACGAAGTTGCGCGGGTAGCCATTGGCTTTGAATACCCGTCGGAGGTACTGTAGTTCGGAAATCTCGTCTTCCAGCTCATTACAGTGCGTTTTAACACGCCAATAGAGTGTCCTTGCATAACTGCGTTTAAGGCTGATTGGGTGATTGCTGCTGAAGCTCAGTACTTGCATCGTATTTGTCGCTTTCCCGAACACTTTGGTCTTTAGTCCACCACAATCCTTGCGCCATACGAGGACATCCAGGAAGGCCAGCTGGTTTTTCTCTCCCTCCCCCATCGTAAATTGAATGTCCGGGAAGACGGCTTTGAGATGTTCTTTGGATGTCAGCACCTGGTCCCGTTCGATGACGACGAAGGTATCATCCACATACAGGACCCAGAACTTCGGTCTGTGGTGTTGGAAGACCAGCGATTCTAACCGTTGCAGGACCGCCTCGGCGACGAATCCCGAAATCGGCGAACCCATTGGTGTGCCCTTCACCTGTTCGTAGATTGTCCTGTTGAACGTGAAATACGTCCTGAGACAGAGCTGAAGGATTTGGGCGTGTCCAAGACGGTTCTCCGTTTCATCATATTTGCTTTGTAGTAGCAGCTCAATTGTCTCGATCGCCAGGTCCTGGGGAATAGAAGTAAAAAGGGGTGTAACATCAAAAGATACCATGACCTCATTTGGATGGAGGCTTACCCCTTTGAGTTTCTCCAGGAATTCTGCTGACGAAGAGACCGTGGTGTCTGACTCAGCGGTCAGGAACTTGAGACGCCGGAACAGCCACTTAGCCAGTCCGTACGTTGGAGTACCTTTGAGCGACACGATGGGTCGGAGAGGAGCGCCGTCTTTGTGCACCTTAGGGAGGCCATAGAATCGGGCCAAAGCAGTATCTTGGGGTCTCGCCATGCGTCTGTCGGTCGGTATTATTGCACCTTAGGTCTCCAAGGTCAACGCTTTTAAATGGTTCGTTGCACATGGGACATAGAACTGTCGGTTCTCCAGTCAACCTTTGGCTTTTTTGTATGCGTTACCATGGCGATCGCACCCTACGGGTCCCGTATCTGCTGTTTCGCGCTGATGATGTGTTCGAGCAGGGGTCCGAAACGTCAGGCGAATAAAGCTATTGTCCCAGCGATCGTGTCTCCTTCTTTAAGACTACTTCCTGGGACTCGCCTTTTGTTTCTATTGACATCATATGGAATTCATAAAATTCAGCAGTGGAATTGAGTCATGTTGTTAACTTTTTTGCCACATTGGTATATGGAGAGACATGACGCTTTATGCAGGGCCATTTCACGGTAGTAGATAATCTCACAATCATAAACCTTTCTTAAAAAATCGAATTATACTGTTCCTTCGATTTTAAAATTGGAAGAAGACGTACTTTTCTACGGAATAAGCTAAAGAACTAATTTTTTATGCATCTTTTCTCCCGAAATATGATTTAATTTTTAACGGTATCGAAAATCGATGAGAAAAATGCATGCTACTTAATTAGTCCTTTTTTTGCGGCGCAGTGTTGTCGCACGCGGCCAGAAAGAAATTCTTTTGAAAGCCGGCATCTTGAGGTAACTGAATTATTATAGAATTATGCTGCATGACAATTATTCTACAACAATTCTTATTTAATGTTTTCGAAACGAAGACCCATTTCGGAAATTCGGTTGACATTTCATGATTAAGCACACCTAACGTACTCAGCTCCGTAAGTGTCAGGATGAAAACCTCCTTGCTAATATAAACGAGGCACGCGTCCTTACTGCGGCGAAAGGTGTTTAAGCCGTAGATTATGCGAGAGCTCGAGTTTCCAACAAACAGAATTAATATCGCCAGCCCATTGTCCCCGGTCAGATGAGAGTAAACGAATGAGCCACAAAGTGGCGGCATGTTTGAAGTCTCTGTTTGCACTTTCCTCCTTGTCAGTAGGCTTTTTAATACATGAAAATGTGTACCCTTTGTATGGTTACAACGATTCCCCTCCGGAGAGTTCGAAGGCGAATAGTGGAAGTGAACTGAGCAATGACATATACAAGTTGTCCGAGGTCTGAGAAACTGAAATTACGAGCATTGCGCTCGGGGGGGGCATAGAACTATGACCTGCTGGAAAGGTATAATCCACCTTTAGGCGGTTAATTGCGATCCCCAACCACCAGAGGAATCTGTGGAAAACTAGGGTGAAAGCACGAGGACACTGGGAGAACTAGAGCCTCATTCGGGATAACACCATCGACTCCCAGGTATTCACGGATGATAGGGATTACAGTTTTGCGAACAACTCATTTTTAGGTACAGTACCTGTGCTAACTCATGAAATGTCATGAATAAATAAATGTTAACAACTTAAACGCAGAATCGGTAAACAAAACTGCTCCCAAAGTCTGATAGCGGAAAATAAACGATGTGTCAAAGAAATAAAGCAAATTTTTGTTAAGAAAATATTATTTACTGAGATAAAAATAAATAATTTTCGACAAAATTCAAATTTTCGAGAAAAGCCTATATTACAACCAAGTTAATAAAGGCTACGTATGAGGGCGTATAAAGAAGGAGGGCGCATAAAAGGTCAATAATAATTATGGACAGAAACAGATACAAAAAATAGTACTTTGTTGATTGTCCATTTGAATTAATAACGGCAGAAAGTCTGTCCGACATAGACATGACAAGGTTATCTATGGTGGATTGTAAAATGAAATTATTGAGTATGAAATCCAATTTTTCCTGCATTGAAAGAGTCTTCTTAGCTTTTTGCCAATTTCTTTTGACTATTCCAAAAAGATTTTTGATAGGATTCAAATCGGGACTGTTGGCCGGGATGAAAATGGATTGGAGGCCGATGGCGGAGAGGGTGGTTGTTGTCTAAAATGTTAGATTATATTTGCAAGCGGCATCAAATTCGTACCTCTTTAGAGCGGTGGACAGGTGCATTGTCCTGCAAAATTACAGTATCAATTCGGCACCCATTTATGTCGTTGTAGCCGAAAGCATCCTTGACAACTGCAATGAACACCTTGCTGTTGATGGTGTCGGATGTTGGCCGCCAGACAGGCCGCTCACCAAATTTAATCGCCATTCAAACCATCATCGGCCGACAGTTCTTGAATGTTGCAGTCGGTGTAGTGCGTTCTCTTGGGAAGTTCTTTCCACATATGACGGTTTAGAGCGATTTCGTAGGCCTGTCTAAAAATAGAACCTCATTGCAGAAAAAAATGCTCTTCCAAAATGAAGACCTGTAATCAATATAATTCTTAGCAAATAAAAGACGTTCTCTAATTAGTTTTCTACTTAAATATGGCTTAATCGTGGCCTTCCGCCGCTGCAGTTCAAATTCCGTCATCCTTTTTCTAATGATGTTCATAGAAAACATCGGCAGATGTTCCCGTTGAATGGTCTCAATGGGCATGTAATGAAACTTTTTTAATGTAAGACGAATAAAATCGTCGTCTCGCTTACTTTTGGATTGTTTGTGTCCCCCTATCTTACTTCTCGGAACTGTTTTATCATTAATAATGCGCCACAGAGTGACCTTGCTAATATTGAAAATACTAGCTAACGACTCACACGGGATTCCCTCCGCCACTAATTTTCGAATGCGCTGGAAGTCAACTTCAGATAAGTATTGTTTATACATAGGTATCGTTTGGCGTGGTAGAGAAAAGTGACGGCATGTCGCGCGAACTCAATATATATTCGTTTACGACACGCATTTTCAGTCTGGTAAAACAATCACACTGATAAACGCTTGTATTTCGGTATTTTGAAACATAAAACCTTACGAATTTGTAAAATAGAACTTTTAGATGAAGAAGCGCATGTTATTTCCTGAACACAATAAGAAATAATTTATTTGCATTTCCCTGATTTTCTTGATATTGAAGTTTAATATTTTCTTAGTGTTCGAAACTCTATTGAAAAATTGTGTCCTTTCATTAATCTTTTTAAACAAATTAATAAGGCAACACAAACAATTTCGATCCGAAAGATTTAATAGCATAGGAAACTGCTTGAATATCAGGAATCCTCCGATTTCGCCGAAATGCGGCCCGTTTTCTATTTAATATACAGATCCGTATCAAAATTTCCTTCAGCAAACGGCCTTTTCGTCCTTATGTCAACTAAATAAACACAAATAACAACACCGAAAATACGCTACATTTTCCACTCTTATTTTGACCTCGGCATTGCATGAGTTAGCACAGGTACTGTATTTGTTTATACCGCTTATCCTTTTATCTTCACAAAATCGAAACTGACTCCTTATTGTTATTTTGGTAGTGCAGGATAATGCTCATCGAAATTTTTGGTTGCAGCTCGTCTAGGACTGCCGAATTTACATCTTGCAGTGATTATTACATCTTAACTGTTAACAAGGCCTTTAGGGAGATTTAAGCACTGTAAGCAGTCCTTCTAATTTGCCAGCATTTAAAGGTGCAGACGCATCGGATCCTTCGTACTCGTTTGGCAATTCTGCACCTTGAATAGATCGAGGTTTACCTTAAGGTAATCAGCAGACCTGACATTTGGACTGATTTCCAAAAAAACACAGTAAACAAAGATCACATGGGGACGACGTCTGTCGATCACTTAAAACTCTTTTAAATGACTATAAAATTCGGGATAACGACGAAGCCAAATCCAGCATATCGTGACTTGGAAGAGAGCGAGGGATTAGGAGTTGAAACATTACCTATCGGTCGGAAGGGATTACGAAATTGCAGACAGTAATCAATACCGACCAAAGGTGGTTTGTTTATATATATATATATACACAGAAACGATAGTTAGACCATTGTCCCCGACAGTGTCCACCGTGCGCCTCACAGGAAGGTTGAGCGGGAACGTGCATTAGTTTAAAATGGTAGGAGATTTGCATAGCATCTACCGCACTCCCTCCTCTTCCCCCACCTGGACCAGACGTTCAGACAAAGTCAAAAGGACTGGAGCCGACGGGGGGGGGGCGGGGGTGGATGGCACGTTCGAGCCCGCACCTTGGCATTCCACTCTACACCCCTGGTCCCCACAGAAGATGATTATAATCAAAAATAACAACAAGGGGGGGGGGTTGAGCCGCAGGGGTCCATTGTGTGCCACATCTACCGGCAACTTCGTCTGTCATCGCACCCCGAACTGTTGGCACTTTTTATGGCGCGCGTTCCAATAACGCCCGCCAGAATCTGATCCGGCCCACGTGTTGGTTCAGTACATCTACCACGGTGTTCGTTTGTGGGGGGTAGGAAACAAACACACACGCACACAGAGTGAGAGAGAAAACACTGGTATGCGTAAATGAGGCCCATTTCGCAACACATGCTTCAGTGAGGACGTATAATTGGTCCACGTCAGCCAATCACAATCCAGCTCCTGACCTGGAGGAACTCGAAGTCTGAATCCAGGCCCAGATGGTAACTGAGCCAACCACCCCCCCCCCGACGCGATTTATTTGGCTGGGATTAGAAACATACAGATTAGTCATATGGGAGGATTGGTCTTCACAGATTTATTCTTATTTTTCGGAAGTAATGCGGTGGTTCCGTTTTTGCTTCCATTGCAGAGTCTGGAGTTGTTATCCCTCGCGACACTGGCCACTGGTGAGGCGAGACCGGTGTTGACAATGTCCGGTTACGCTCGAGTGAGACAGGATTTTTAGTTATCTTCATACGGGCATGTGAATGAAGTCAACTCTGGGGATTTCATCCCGACGTGCTTGAATCACGAAAAGAATCGTAATTTACGAATTATTTCTAATCCTTTGTGAACCTAACCAAATGCATGAAGTCAATACTTATGTTAAGGAATAACAACTCTGGGGGAGTTAAAACACAAAATACATATTAAAGGTGATGTTACGCTGTTGAGAAATGCCAAGTTTTTTCGAAAAGTTTAAAATCCCGAAAACTCCAAAAAGG